TCCTGCTGCTGCCCCGGGCAGGCTCCTGCTGCAGGTGGCTGCAGTGCCAAGGCAGGGGGGACTCAAAATAGCCACAACCCCAAGCTTTTGGAATGATTCTGGCGCAGCAGCAGGCTGGTGCCTCTTCATGGCACGTTTTTTGAAGCTTATTTTTCAACAGGCAGGTAGGACAGTTCTAGGAGAGGCTGGGAAAGAGGCCAGGTTTGCAGGCACGTTGCTCCGTAATAAAATAATAAAAACTGCCGTTGTGCGTGGTACCAGCAACGTGACGGGTGTTCTCATCGGTTTGGGATGACAGAGCGCATTTATTTCAGGACCACAGACTATTACGTGCTTCATCAGAGGACAGAGAAGGAGAATAACCGAGTCGGGGTCACAGCGGGGAGGCTTGGCGCTGTAGCACGGGGCCATGGGCAGCTGCCCGAGGGTTGAACGTGGCGGGGGGTCCCCTCCAGGGCAAGCACAGAACAACATCCCACATCCTCGTCTCCTTTGAAGACCTCCTCATGATGACCCACCTGGGAATTTTATTATTTTACTGGACGAACTGGAAGCTATTATGCTTGCAGTGATCAGCAAGTACAAAACAAAGGGAGGACTTCAAAGGTTTGAAGATGTTCTGGAAACTATTTACCACAAGATCTCCCCCGAAAAGGGCTGCTGCACCCTCCTTAGCATGGAATTTCTACCAATTAATTCTGTAATTAATGTTACCAACAGACAAAGGGAGAGAGGGTCCCCTGGCAGCCCCATGCAGATGCCCTCAAGCACTTTGGGGCACGAGGCAGAGCCCCCAGAAGTGGTGATCTGACTATCTTGTACAACATGGGCAGGCTAAGGAGCGTCCCACTTTGCTGTCTCATCACCCCAGTAAAGAGATTCAGCCAGCCTCTGTATCCCCACATCGCAGGCACTGCTGGTGTCTTCTCCAGACAGGACCACCCAAACCAACAGCCCCTCTCTTGACCAGCGCCAGGTGACACGCCACGTGGGACGCACAGCCAGGGCTGAGTCTTCCCTCTCAAACATTTATTATTTTTAAGTCTAGACATTCATGGGTATTTATCCCAATTCTTAATGCTTGACTTTGCTGTCTCCCTCCTCTGCCACCCCTCCTGCCCACCATCAGTTGAGGGTGCTCAAGGGAGGACAGCATCTCACCTTTACACTCCCTTCCCCTCCAAACTTTGGAGGGATCACATCTGGACTCTCATTTAGAGCCAAAGATATTTATTAGGGCAGAAGAGTGAGGACGGACAGAGAGATGGGCGGCTAAACACACCCAAGCAGCCTCTGAAGAAAGGCAGGCAGGGGCTGGACCATGGTGGGAAGGCAGCAAGGCGTGGGACAGGCAGGACGAGGAGGCTGCAGAGGGAAGGGGCACTGCAGAGCACCCCGATGGTGAAGGTGAGGTGCTTGCATTCAATAAGGAGGTGTTTCATGAAAAGTGAAATGCTCAGCTTTGACTGTTTTGCGTTGGAATAACGGTCTCACAGAGGCTGGAGCTTCCCCGTATCTTCATGTCCCACACTCCTTGGCTCACCATTTGGACACCAAGTCGCACGGACAAAGCACTCAGACCACAAACAGCAGCGACCAAGGAAAAAGCGATTAATGTGGAGATGTTCTAGAGGGATAAACAGCAGGATTAGCGACTCATGGGGATAAAAAGAGTAGTAAGAAAGAAGAGAAAGGAGCCTGCACGGGGCTGGATGGTGAGAGCACCGGGAAAGGGACAGGGTGACAGAGAGAGGGACACCCACAGGATCATCTCCCAAGGGTCCTCTTCTGCTAGAGCTGATATTCTGTGCCCTGAGAGATGTTTGCAAGTTCATGAGCACCCAGGGAGCTTCAAAGCGTGTTTATCTGAGACAAGGCTAAAACTTAAGCCGTCAGGTCTAAGCAGCCTGTGCAGGTGCAGACCCAGATCTGGACGTGACCTTGGCAGCTTGAAATTTATCTTGTTTGCTACTGGGAACTTTAAAACAAACAGATGCCCCCGCGCTGCTCTCACCACACGGAGGAAAGGACCTGAGCAGCAAACACCGGCCAAACGGTGGGAGAAACGCAGGTAAGGCGGCTCTGCTTCGAAGCTGGTGAAGGCCAGCACCCCGCTGTGGTCCAGGGTATCTCCCGGAGTTGGACAGCTCTACTTTTCCCACCAAATTATCCTAATTAAATGGCTGCCTGCTGCAAGTCATGTAAACAAGACACATTACCAAGTAAGGGCTATTATTTAGGTGGCATATGCATTTCTAAACTGTGCTTAAAAACTCTGCTCACAATCTACCACAGTTATTTTCCATTTTAACACTCAGCAGGATGGCTTGGGATTTGAGAAACATCAGGCCAGAAGAGCTGTGACCTTTCAGACGAATAACAACACACAACCTGCAATTTTTCATGTTAGCAGAACCCAGCCACCAGTCTAAGCATATTCCAGATACAAAACATCCTAAGGAAAAAAAATCCAAGTGCTTAAGACGACCCTTCCTCACTGCAAAGGCTTGCAAGAAGACATTACGCTAGGGGTGTAGCTCTGCACTGCCTTCAGAGCTTTGAACCTACTGGGTCTTTACAGCACTTGGATTACCCAAGGAGCAGGATTTCATCTGCTTTTGGGCAGCTCTGGCTTAGCACTTGCTGGTAGCACCAAAATTCGGGGTGTAAGGATCCCTGTTCTGCTCAAGGCCAGTCGGCAGCAGGGTGGAGGCTCAGCAGCTTCAGATACAGTGATGCTCCGGTCCTCTGCCTCTTACTGATGCTTTCTGCGAGAGCACAGCCCTCATAAATCTGTTTGAGCCCTTGACAAACATGGAGGTTGAAAAACAGAAAGAAATTGATTTCTCCGAGTCATCTGAGAAGAGCTGGAACTGGTGGGACTGACCCAAGCCCCATCCGAACCCTCCTGTCGTACCTCTACCTTCGCAGTGCCCACCACGCGGCTTTGGCAAACGCAGCCCTCCGGTGTTTACAAATAACTGACGTTATTTGTGGTGCTGGATGCTCACCACAGCGCTGCCATTTGCGGCTCTGCACTGGAGCCGTATCCAGGTCTCTCTGCACAGCGGGGATCTGCAGGTTTTTTTGCACCGATGCTCCAGCCTCCCACCCCTGGGACAAATCGGAGGAGGCTCCTGCAACGGCATCTTGCAAAGTTACATCCTACCACAAAGCCCTGGCCACCCTCCCGATAGCTCTTTCCCACTGCACTGGCTGTTAAGGTGATGAAGAACTGCTTAGAAGCAACAATAACTCTGTAGCAGACACGGACAGATGACTCCCACCCTGATCCTGCAGTCTCTGACAAGATGACGCTTCTTAAATCGGTGACTTTCTGCCTTCACGTAGCGCTGCCTCGTTTGCAGGGATTTTCTCTGGGAGTTACCCTCCCTCGGGAAAAGCCTTTGAATGCACCTGACTTAAAAAAACCCAAACCACACACTTAAGAAAAAGCCAGGAGCCTCTTCCTGAGCTGGGTGAGGAGAGGAGCACAGTCAGTGACAAGGACCCAAGGTCCCTTGCAACCTTCTTCCTTTCACCCAGGCTTTCTTTCTCCCCACATCTCAGACTTGAAACCAGAATGGATCATGGCTCAGCTTCAGGATCACAAGATTGTCTTTTTGCCATCCTTTTCCCTCTCCCCTTCCCTGCCTGCCTGAGCAGGAGGTGTCCGAATCAGAGCCACGTTGGGCAGAAAGTTCATCTGCAAAGTGCAATTAAACCTTGGCACGGGAGCAATGGTGGGTCCGTGGGGGGCACTGAACTCGTCCACACAAACATCCATCTCAAGAAAAGAGATTTTAGCTCATCTTACAATCCCAAACAGTAACTTTAAGCAGAAAGCAGCTACAGACTGCATGACAGCTACTGCTGCAGACCACGCGATGCTTTGCTTTCTCCCGGGACCACGTGGACCTGCGAGCGGAGGAAGCTCCACCGCACTGCTCCGAACCTCCAGCCTGGTCGGCAACCTGCACGAAACATCTGCAACTCCCTTCAAAACCCTTTAGCATCAGGACTGCAGGTTTCAGACTTTTTCACCCGTTTTCCTTGCCTCCCTCCCTCCCACACTGCCTGCCCGCTGTCGCCACAGCCACTGCTCCCACCTTGAGCTGCTCCACCAGCGAAACCACCAGAAGGTGCTCCCAGCTCCAACCTCCCTTTTTCGAGGGCATGGGGCAGCCTGGGGGCAGCTCGTCCACGGCAGTGGTGGGATGGCAGGTCCCTCCTCAGCCCCCTGTCCCAAAAAAGCGCAACACATCCAGGGCTGTCCCACCAGCCGGGTTTCGCTGCAAGAGCCTGCCATGCCAAATTCGTTAGAGGAAAAATGCAGTTCCCTTAATAGCTGCATTTTTGCCTGAGTATAGAACTGTTTCCAGCACCTTAAATTATTTTGCAGGGTTTGGCAGCTGCCTGGGAATGCGACCTTTCGCAGAGGATCCCACAGCCCGTGGCTCACCAATTCCTTGTTAGAAAGTGCCACTTTGGGGGAGTTTCAGCCCTCCTTGGGCAGATGGATAGGAGCTGGCGACAGCAGCAGGAGAGGAAAACTGAGTCAGTCCCAAAGAGCCACCCAAGGAGGGGATGATTTTCCCTACTTAAGGGCAGGTATTTGTTTTCCTGCATCTTGCTTTATTCCTCTTTTCCCTCCTCCATCCCAGCCAGACTGCTGCAAGAAGGCCTGCATGGACCAACGGACGGGATTGCAGGGAGATGCCCAAGCTGGGCGGCTTGGAGGGCTCTGGGCTTCCCACGCCCCAAGCAGGGCGGCCGTGGAGCACACCAGGCTACCCCCAGCCACTCACTATTAGTATTGCATTATAATACAGTATGTAAGTACCAAAGAGCAAAATTTTGGTAAGTTATTTGGACCTTGACGTCCAACGAAAGAATACAACTCCATCTCAAAGACTCACCCCTCTTTCCTGAGGATTAATTAAGTGTAATTCAGATGGAGTTGTGTTTTTAAGCAGCGGGTTGGCACAGAAGTGAGGACAAAGACAAGCAGAGTGGTTGCAGACATGCCAGGTACCCTTTCCACGTGTTTCCACCGCGGGGATGAACAGCACCCAGTGTTTTATGAAAGCAGCAAAGCAAGAAACACAGAGCTTCATCATTTAAGTAAAGCGAGCAAATGGAATCCTCCACACAGTTCGCTGCTGGGAAGGAATAAAATACTGAAATACATACTTGACATAAATGACATAAAGCAATAAAAACCACCTAAACAGCACTTGAACCTTTCCTGTGCCCTGCTCGTGGCTTTGCCGTGCTGGAGAGCCCCGAGGTGCACTTGGCAGAGCTCGACCCACGGGCTTTGCCCAGGAAATACATCCTGGCTTGGAGCAGGGAGGGCAACCACCACCAGAGATCACTCCAGCAGCGCTTACAGCTGCCAAAACAGCTTCGAGGACCAGTTCCTCCCGAAAAGATCCACCACAGTCTGACCGCTTCGCCCTACCCACATTCAACAGCTCTCGGTGCCGACCGGCAGCTCGCTGAGACAGCACCGGCCCCATCAATTCGGCGTCACCTACCTTGTGCGAATAATGTTGATCCACGATTCTGGCCAGCCCGAAGTCACCGATCTTCAGCACCAGGTCCTCCGTGCTGATGAAAATATTGGCCGGCTTGAGGTCGCGGTGGAGGACGTTGGCCGAGTGGATGTACTTCAGCCCCCGCAGCAGCTGGTACATGAAGAGCTTGGCGTGCTCCTCCGCCAGCTTCCCCTGCTCCAGCAGCCGCGCCAGGTCCGTCTCCATGTACTCCTGGACGATGTACACCATGTTGAACTTGAAAAAATCCCCGCGCAGGTTGGTCCCCTTCGGCCCCAACACCTCGTACACCTTCACGATGTTGTCGTGGTCCAGGCGGCGGATGATTTTGATCTCCCGGAAAGCGTGCTTCATGCTCCGCGCGTCGCCAATGGTGATCTTCTTCACCGCCACTTTGCGGCAGCTCTTGCTGTCGAGGGCTGACAGCACCAGCCCATTGGCCCCGAAGCCCAAAGGGCGGAAATTAATGAAGCGACAGCCCAGGTCGTACCCGTACATGCTGGCGATGCAGTCGCACTTCTCTGCCATCGCGGGCTTCCTCTCCTTTCGGCTTTTTCCTCTTCGTCACTTGAAAAGCTGGGAGAGTTGAAGGGCTTCCAGATCACAAACGTGGTTTGAAATCAAGCGCCTCATTATTACTTACAGATGCTCGGGGTGTGTGGGGGGGTGTCTTTGCTCTGAGCCCATCGCTTCAAGATGACACGCAGACGGAGTGAAGATAGATGCGAGCACCCACGCAAATAAAATGTTTTAAACTGGGTGAGGAATCAAGGGGTAGAAGAGGCTTCACAAGCAGCGTAGATAAACACAGCCCGGTGATCTCTAGCGAAACGGAAAGGTTATTTTCCTCGAGACTGAAAGATCAGCGCTGCTACATTTTTCAGCCACTTTCTTGTTTTCCTCCTCCGATGTCCCCAAGACGACGCCGAAACACGGGGCTGGCGGTGCCGCCGGATGCCCGGCCCCACGTCACCAGCGCCTCAGTGCCGGGGCAGCCGGCTGCTCCTCCCACAGCAGGGCAGAGCCCAGAGCAGCCCCATGGCCCCTCCGCTGCCCCAAACCTTCCCTGCCCACAAGTTTTGACAGCGTTTTCCCCACCAGCGAAGCGCATCCAGGCACTGGCCGGGCTCCCCAGCGGTCAGCAAAGCTTCGCCCTTCTCTCCACTCCCTTTTCGGTACAGGCAGACACGATCTTCCCCATCGGCAGGTAGAAATCTCGATGGCAGCAAATGTTTTTTGCAGATCAAAACTCACTTTCTTGGTGGCATTCAGCACAGCAAGTTTCCACGTTCGCAGCTCTGACACCTTCCCCTCGTGCGTCTTTTGCCAGCGAAGCCAAGTGCCATCTGATCTTTTCAGCTTGCTGGAGGAGTTCCCTGCGCTGCACAGCCCGGTTATCCCTCAGCAGGTCTCAGCCCCGCTCCTGGAAGAAAAGAGGAGATGGATTCATTTGATACCAGCACTGCCTATGCCCTGCCTATGTAATAGCTTGCTGAAGGTTAACCATGAGCAAAACTGTGACCTTTCGGAGCACGCATCATTACCAGCATTTTTCAGATGATTAATTTTTCCTTTTCAATTTGTAATACACAGAAAACTGTAACTCTTCCTTTCCCCTTTGTCGTTTTTTTTTTTTAAATTTTCAATCTGTCCGAAAACGTTACAGAGCGATCTGCACAAGGCAAAGGTTCAACGGCACGCCGTGTCTCCGACTGCCCGTTCAAAGCACATCACCAGGAAAGCAGGGTAGAAGCTCGCCAGGGCACAAAACCTCCCTGCCAAGGAGCTGAGAGCAGAGAGGGCCACCGAGTTTTTCAGTTTGTAAAGACCAAAACTGCTTGGGCAAACGAGGAGGTGCCACCCCGGCCGGTTTTGCAAAGAGCTTCAAAAACCAGCCGCGAGGGTGGGACCGCCCCTGTATTTGGAATCCCACAGCAAACCTCAGCAGCAGCCCGGGGATGCTGCTGGCTCCGTGCTTGTGGTGGCGAGGAGCTGCCAAGCCCTTCCCTCGTGCAGCAAACCGCACCATTTTAGTGCATTTATAGAGAGATGCTCCGGCGCTGCCCAGCCTGGGGTGCAAAAGCAGTTAAAGACAGGGCTCGTTTCTCCTCCAGCGTGCTGGGGGAAGGAGGAGAGCATCCTCATTAAGATGGACGAGCCGTGTCATTAGCTCCGGGGATTTGCCATCTATCAGCAGCACCTGAAACCACAGCTCAGGCACCCGGCTCTGCCGAGAGCCACTCGGCACGGGCAGCCATCCCCCTGCTTCTCCGGCAGCTTTGACGGTGATGAATGCCGCGGTGGGGTGACCCAGTGGGAAAATAGGAGCTGACTTCATCTCTCACCGCGTCCTTCGTAAAGCTGTGCTCGGCACCCGGGCGCCGCAAAAACACTTCCCCCATCTGTCCAAGTTTAGCAGCTACTCCCTTCAGAGGCGTGAGCCAGCTCGCAGCCTCCCAGCTTTGCTCTTCTCCCACAGGAGGTCGTGGTTTCACGGACCCAAGAACTTCTCCACACAAACAAGACACATACACGAGACAGATCTAGGGTCCTATGGTCCTCTTTGAAAGCACAGCTAAATAGATAAATATAGATAGATAAATGAATGGTATAATATTTATGTTGTGGTTTATTCATCCCTTCCTAACATGAAAAGACTTAATGACACCCTTGGCTGGAACAAATGTACGTGGACCCAAGGCAAGCAAGGTAAGCAACAGCAGCGAGCTGCAGCTTCTCAGGAGTGTAACCTCATATTTCAAAGCCTCTCCGTGCTAACATGTGCTCCTCCGAGGGATGGAGGATCTTTTAACAAGATGCACTGGCTTTTAAAGAAAAGAAAAGCAGCAGAGGAACTTTCCAGCACAACAGCAGACCCCGCACCCCACTGCTGGCAACGGCGTAACAGGTAAATATCAACACCTGCTGGGGAGGAGGATGCAGATTTAGTCAGAAGATTCCAGTATTTTGGGGATTTTCCTAACAAAATGTCATTTTCCGGTGGCAGGTGACCACGGGCAAGGGATCACCTCTCACAGATGTTCTGGTTGGGAAAAGACAGTCCAAAGCCCTCAAAGCACTTCAAGTTTTCCAGATAAACCACTGCAACTTTTTCACCTGCAATTACTTCATTTAGAAATAGAAATGAACAAAAGGCACGAAGCATTTGGAAATGGCTGGGCTGTTCTTTTTTCCTCAGCTCATCGAAGCTCTCGACCTACCATGTCTCCCTGCAGATATTTACGAATCTCAGAGGAGCGAGGACACCCTCTCCTGCCTGACCTCACCCCCCCATCCTGCTCCCAAACACCCCCAACACTTCCTTTTGCTGCACCCTCGCTTCACCACAAGACCCTGTGTGCAGACCGATGCCCCGTGCCACCCACCGAGGGGACCACCAGGTCCTACTGAAGCTGGGGAGACCCGCAGGGACCAGCCAGCTGCACAACAAGGGCTGTGACCTTGCACAGGGATGTCCCAAATTGCCAACCAGTCCCAGTGCTGCTCAGAGGGGGAAAATAAAATAAAATTACCGTGGACCTGCTCCCGTTGTGTTCTTCATGCCAGAATCACGGCTCTGTTATAGCCCTTAATCACCAGAGCTGCTCCATTAACCCAGCGGTGGGTTCACAGCCTGGTCCTTCACTCTGCATTCCCCAAGCATCCGGCATCGCCAGCGGTACCCTTCTGCTCTCTGGCAGTAACGACAGGGAAAATACCAAATGTGGAGCTTTGTTTCGGTTTGCAACCGAGGTGGAAGAGAATCGTAATGCTTCAGGCCACCACGGAGCAGCTATTTGAAACGGGAACCAGTTAATGGTTAAAATAAAGACGTATGGACCGTATGACGGCGGGGAGGGAGGTAGGCAGGGCAGGGATACCCTCCGAAGAGCAGCTGCCAGCAGTTACCAAGCAGATTGGCAAACATTGCTTGCTCCTGTAGTTGGAAGCAAAAATAATTACAGCCTCTCTTCAATCCAGCAATTATCTAATGCTGGCTTCTGCACGCAAGGATTGAACAGAGAAAGCCGCTTTTGCTATTAGGAAGCAGGGCAACGCACAGCCAGGGAGGTGCCTTGCTCCACGGGCAAAGGAGGGGGGAAAAAAAAAAGGATGAGAAACAAGAAGCGAAGGGGAAAAGGAAGGTTAATAAATCCTGAGGGTCTGCAAGGCCACAGAAAAGAGCACCCTGGGCGGGAAGGTTACCCCCGCATTGCAACCCCACTGCACACGTTGCTTAAACCCCAAGAAGGTGGTGGGAGGTCTGAGGACCACGGGAAGGTTTAAGGGCAGGCTGGGATCTGCTGAGCAACCATGGGGCTGCAAGACGTATATCTGGCTGCAGCAAAACCGGAGCTTTTCCACTTGTGGCGACTACCCTGAGCTTCCTAAGCCTGCGCTGAAGATCTCAGTCTCTGCATGGGTCTCCTGGATGTCTGAGGAAGAGAAAAACCCAAGAAAAGTAGCAAAAATTTCCTACTGGCAAAGAGAACTCGGTGAAATAGGGCTTGGGCCGACATGCTTCAACAAGGTGCCATGTCAGGTTTGAGACCTGCCTCTATCTCACCTCTCAGGCCCATCACCCAGAACCCACGTTTTTCAGCTTTATTGGCATTCTGCGGGGGTTTGCTGAGACCAGGTAGGGCTGGACGGGACTCGGCGCTAGCTCCCACGCCGAGCTTCTTGGCTTACTCTAGATGCAATGGAAGGAAACTAAGTTTTGCCTCGTCAGCTTAATTATTAATAATTAGTACAGTTCTAGAAGCACTGAAAGGGAAAATGCGCTGCATAAGGCTAAAAGGGAAGAAAGAGCCCTATTTTATCTCATGAGCTTCATGGTGCCCCTGGCTACGTCTCAGCCCCCATCACTCGGGCTGAGCCATGACCCTGCAGCGTCTTCTGCAATTAGAGGGGCTGGGGCAGAATCACCCCTAAAAGGACGGCCCCAGAGGATGGCAAGCCTTGCTCCCGTCCTCGCTCTCGTGGCTGGGTCCCTCTCACTCTCCATTATCCAAATTCTGACCGTTTATTTCATTAGAAGCACTAAAGAAATGAAACAAAGCATGCATGCAGCCCGGGTGCTACTCCCAAGTTACCCGAGCAGCTGATGCCTGGGAACTGCAGTGGGGGGAACAACCATCTGACTATTTAAATGTGGATTTCCATTTGGATGGATGGATCCTGGGGTGGTACTGGGAGCACAAGGGGGAGTTTCAGGATGCCAGCCCCATCATCAGCAATACCAGTTTTTCCTCTCTTCTTGGTTCTCCGAGTCTATTGTAAAGAAAAAGTATTACTTTACTGGCTTCATGAAAATAGCTGTCGAGACCAACAACGGTCGTAAAACCAGCAGCGATGCTATTTGGCTGCAGATGACGGAAAATGTGGTCTATTTTCATGAAACTACGAACCAGAGTCCCACGGGTTTTTTCAAACTGATGAGGCCAGGATCTGCCATCCACTTGAAAAGCCGAATTCAATGGGAGCTTCAGGGCAAACTGCAGCAGAATACAGCCAACAGGTCCCGA